GTGTTTTGAAAATGCAAAGGTGATCAGAGAGATGAAACTAAAAGATTGAATACATAGATTGACCACCAACAGGACTCCCTTTGGCATCAATCTTGCTGAGAGAATTTTCTTTAAACAGTCTGTGACATTATGTTTTTCAGAATTGTGGAACATCCATGGCAGATTTGGCGGTATCACTGCATCAAGAGGAAGAATATCAGCCCCCAAACGGCCAGGTAAATACATGTATGAAATTATATCCTTTCGATATAGGTCATATAAAAGAATTCCAAGTTTACCTGGAAATATTTGATTGAAACAACTTGTATTATAAAAAAAGCTGATGGCGGACCTTATGTAGCTGATTTTACCGTTTTTTTCCAAAAGTTTGAATCAGCTGCTGAGCAAGATTAAAAGTAAATCAGAAAATTGTTTTAATTCATAAAGAAGCTAAGATGGCGTGCCCAAGTTGTTGTTTTCCTTAATCGCTTTATGAAACTTTTTGTGTCCTTAGCGATTTTGAGCTCTTTACTTAGGTTTTTCCAGTATTTAATTGATCTAACTGAGAATGATCGCCCTGCTTCAGTAGAATTGCTGTCTATGGGGCAGCGTAGGTTTAATTTGCCGTAGCGTGTATTTCTGGAGTGGACATCAGAATGTATTCAATGTCTTTTCAATTTCTTTTCCTAACATAGCTAGTGAAAGACGACACACCGGACTTGGCAGCAATTAACCTCCCCATTGGAGCAAGGTCTATTAAAGTTGGAAGAGCTGCAGGCGGTTGGAAGGTTTTCTCAAAAGTTAATTACCAAGGGAATACTGGTACCGTGGAACAGGGTAAGAACTACCCTAACCCCAAAGAAATGGGTCTTGAACGTGATCAAGCTGTCATGAGCTTGAAACGGCATGGATCGTAACAAGGATACACTTTCAAGGTTCCGTGGATGAATTTTCCCGTCAAACGATTTGTGAAAGCAACCTAATTAAGTTAAAGGAGTTAACGTTAACTAAATCAAAGGTTGCATGATTTTGTAGTTGTAATTTCAAACACTTTTCCACGGATTAAAACATGTTATTCTCCCAACTGAGGAGTTAAAAACTGTCGTGCTTTGCTCTTTAAAGTTTGCTCTCCGGTCTGCTGATCTGCGGCGCTTGTCAAGAAAACAGCTCCCACACTCTTTTTTTATTACCACCACTCCCTCTCTAGATCTGCTTCATTTTTTCTAGTCTTTATTCATC